AAAATGCTGCACCTTTTGAAACACAATTTCATCACCAGCACTCTTTATTTCCAACGATCAGTCAATTGACCGATCGTTGGATATCACCAAAACATTTAAATTTCTTGATTTTCTTCTAAATGACAGCAAGCCAGACGGAATAATTTCACAGGTTGTTTAGTACCGATACGATCTTTAATCCAAGTAAGCTTTTTGATAATAATTTGGTAGGCTACTTTTGAGATGAATGCAAATGATGTCTATAAAGCACAAAGATATTCAACACAGCTGCCCATTCCCATCTGTTCCATATGCCACTTCAAAACTCTCAACAAATACTGCATAGGCCAGTACATATAACCTGAAACTTCCGAGCATGCCTAAAGAAAAACGTGGCATGATATTTTTTGAAATGGCCATAAGCTTTTTGGAGAGATTCAGTAACGATCTGTGGTCAAAGAGTGTGGATTTTGTTACCTGAGCAGTGTTTACTCATATTGAACCTTCAAAAAGGTCCACGATACTGTTGTGCAGTGAATTTTATTAGAGGTGAATAAATTGGTAACCAATCCCTGCAGTACATTTTTTTTCATACAAAGGGACAGGGAACCAACTGCCTGGCTTCGCAGGGAAAACCAATGCACATACTCATGAGGTTTATACAAAAAATTGTTCCGAGAATTAAGTTAAAATATACCCACAAATGAAAAAAAGACTGTAATTTAAATTGATCTCGAAAAAAATATACTGTAATGAGTTGAACAATCACTTATGTAATGTACTTAAATCCTTAACTACCTAAAGAACAGTAATCCAACAAGAAGCTTAAGAAAGTATGACCTCTGTTAAAACTAACAACATGCAAAGCAAAATTAATGTCAAAAAAAGTTGAGGAAAACCCAAATACCCCAGGTGCTACATTCTACTGACAACAAATATTTGCGGCAAATCTACACTTCTTACAAAAGAGGAGAAACATCCCTGAATCTAAACTACTTGCCTGAAAGAGTTGGTGAAAGAACGGGTGAGTTGCAGGAAAAAAAATTCAGCAGCTAAAAAATCACAAGTACGAGTTGTTCCAAAAAGTTATTCCAAAATAAGTCCGAGTTGATATAAACTTCCTGATATGGAAGATTTGAATGGAACCCAACCACTACTCGGGTTCATTCCTAAAATAACGTCTAGTCTAAAACTACATTTCCCCTGCTTCTTTTGACAGATCATGATTTAACAAAATCCCAAGAGCTCTTAAAACAAATTTGACGCCGTTTCTAAGAAGCAGAGAGAGTTTGTACTTGTTTAAACCTAATGCCTGCTGGCCTAGCCCCACTAGTGGAGTGTCTATTATTTTTTAAGTTATTTGGAGCTAATGATTAATCTTCCTACATGGTGAGTTGTCATGTGGAGTTGATGAAAGAACAGACGGGTAGGGACCCCAACCTCCTCCGGTTACAGAACAAGGTTACATCCCACTGAGTTGTTGGAAGAAACATAACATGACTAACCAGCACCAGACTATTCTATTTTTTACATAATGACCAGCATGCGGGATTTCTACTTTCAAATAAACCAGGCATGCAACTCTCAATCCACTAAAAAAGGAGGAAAGTCCAATAGTTCAGAAGATTTTGATCAGTGTTTTTCAATTTTTAGTGGCAGACATGGGATTTAAAAAGAGGAAATCAGCTGATTTGAGGAAAGTTGCATGCCTGATAAACAACTGCAATGCTTGATAAATAAATGCAATAGTTTGCAAGCCAGACCATATGCAGTAATCTTTTCTGGCTCACTACTAACCTGCTAACAGGATTTCATGAAAATAAGAACCATTACCACAATCCCTAAGCTTCATCAGCCAAGGATTTGAAGCTAATTATCCGTGCTACCCACTACGATTAAACTAAAATTGAGTCCCTAAATAGTCTACAAATTGGCGCCTGGTCTACCTAATGTACTAGAAAGCTAATAGCCTACTTGGTGAGTTGTACCCTGTGGAGTTGATGAAAGAACTAAAAAGCAGGAATAAAGTCCTTAGACAGATTAAGACCAAGGCCAGGATTCCAATGAGTTGATCAAAATGCTGTTGGGAATTTGTAAATACATAAATAAAATTTGGACGCACAGGATTCTCTCTCTTCTACCATTGTACACCATATGATTAGTTTTCATGTACTCTGATAGAATTTTTAACCTTGATAACAGATTATAAATTTAACCCCCCATAAAAAGAACAAACAAAAACCCAATCCACACCTCCCCCCCCCAAAAAAAAAATTAACATCCCCAAATTAAATGAAATTCAAAACATAGATTTTGATGTCCAGAAACACAATCCTTTGCCGACAAACAAACAAACCAAGATACCACAAAACCTCATGAGTATAAGACGGCATGGTTCCCTATCCCTTCAGAACCTATCGTTTCCAGTCATACGTTGGAAAAGTATTGGAAAAAATGTAGCACGTGAATTGAATGTTGCTAAAAGTCCCAACCTTTTCATCGACACCAACGGAAGTAAGTTTTACACAATTGGTTTACAAGCAGTGACTGCTTTTTCACATTACGTTACCTTTTCTTTCCTATGAGGGTCACCCATATGAGATGAGGGGTAGGATAGAAAGGAAAAAAAAATATAAATTACATCAAGTAGAAAGAAAAGTATTGACATTATGCTTGAACTGGGACAGATCATTATCAATTGGAAAACAAGATAAAGGGAAAATATGCATTCATCTTTAGTGACATGTAGCGCAAATTAATACTCTTTCCAATACATCTGGTAGATAATATAAAAAATATCAATCTTAGATTGAATCGAGGAAACCCACTCAACAAAATAATGTTCATCCAAACACTCTTGACTTTTGGTCCATGAAGCTCGTAAAATTTTTTTTTAAAAATCAGTTAGTGTGAGAACCACTGCAACGTTGTGAAACAGAAACCTGGGAGGACAGCCTGGAAAACAATCAAAGCTACTGTTCAGGCGGCCAACAATCTCCCCAAAACTTCCCGCCTACGCTAATGGGGTTGAAAGAAACCCAACTTATCAGATATCAGGGTGTAAACAAAGCCACCGCAAAAAGAATATTCTGAATCACTAGCTGGCCCTTGGTCCTTTCAAAAAGTCTTGCAAATCTTTAGTGAAGTGGGTCCTTATTTCCGACGCGAGGTCATGTACAAGTGTTGCCTGGGGGAATTGAGGTTAGGAGCGCTATTGTCAAGGCTGTGGGGAACAGGATTTTTGGCGGCTTTGCTGGAGTTTTTGAGTTAATAATCAACCTTTCAAAGTACCATTAAAATGCCCATCACACACTTTATATTCATATCACTAGTGGTCGACTGCTTTTTAGTGACACAAATTTGATTTGGGGTCTTGACACACAGAAAAAAATGGGGTTAACTGTATATTTTTTTCACTCCGGAAAAAAGGGTCATGCTGTAAGTGTAACAATTACTATATTTACAACAAATTTTGTAATTTCGTTAACAGCACAATTTGCATGGAATGTCGGCCCATGAAAGGGTCAGACGTTACAACTTTAGTTTGTTGATTATTTCAGAATGTGTTCAATTTTATAGTAAACCGGACATATGAGAAGAAATTTTTAAATTATTTTGCAGGACTTTAGTCCCGAGGGAAGCAGGCATATGGAAGTGATGGTATTTGGGGGGAAAAAACTAAACAAGGGGAGCCATTGTGGGAGACTGGATAGCCAGTAAACAAATACAAAAGCTCTGCCTCAAAATAAACAATGAGTCATATTGTTTACAAAGATATACAATTCAGATAGTGACTTGGTATGTAGTTGAGAATGGAATCAATGCATATGTGTGCAATCTGTACAGCACAAGCTAAACAATAATAATCATACAGTTTACATAGTTTTTGTATAATTTGAAAATATATTTCAATGTACAACTTTAAAATGTGGGATTTCTGAATCAGAAATGAAAAGGGAGATACAAAATGTATAATATTCTGTGCTAATGCTTTCTTCGTTTTTCTCTCTTTGTCCAAACATGAGCTTAGGGGATTTAAAGGGAATGTACATCATTGGCTTTTGCTGTAATTTTCAGAAATGAACTATTTGAGGGGTTAGTATAATTAATAGATCAAATTTTGTTACACTGACATGTTTGAAGTTTTTTCTTCGAAAATGCTGGAAAAACCAAGAAAAACAAAAAAACGTTCAAGTAGTCTGGTTCCCTGACTCCACTAAAGATAAAATGGATCAATTTCCAGATGCCGGAAAATTGTAAGGTAAGGGAACAAGTTTAGCTGGCCTGCACCCGTTCATGAATATATAACCAATAGCCAACAAAATTTGAACTAAATAAAAAATGGTAAATTTTGAGCAGTAGTTGCACAATAGTTGGGTTTTTCCAACGGTGGTCGGCCGACCACCGCTGGAAACAGATACAAAATTGCCATTTTCTTGAAAATGACTTCACACCAGGTGCCATAATTTTACAGGATGCTTTAGACTGTCATTTACCAACATCCTAGTAAGATATTTCGTAAAAACTTGGTAGTTTTATTTTTCGATGTTCGCAAATGTTGTATATTCCCTTTAAAATAATCTTTCAATAACTTTTTGAAAAAAATCCTCACATCAGTACTGGCACTTTGCCTTACTAATGGTCCTTGTTTATCTGTCAATCTATTACCGATCCCACCCATTTTCTTTGGAGGAAACCCACAACTTGAACAGAGGTTTCATTGTTTTCTGAAACCCCAACACAGCCTTGAGAGGGAGGCTACAAATCAAACAATAATCCCTTTCAGCGACCTTGTAACTCTGGGTTCAGTTCTCAGCATGCTCACTGTGTAGACTGCACAAGAGCGGCCATTGTAAACTACAGCTCGGTGGATTCTATGTCAAGGGGCTGTTCTGGGAGTACAATTTGGTCCCGGATTTGTCGAAAAAATGTGGCAATCATTGATAGCCCTGAACTGTACTGACCCACAACTTGAAGTGTTCCCATTTTGTGCTGTGTTCATAAGTGGGCGGGTTTTTTTTATACACGCAGGACACAGAGCAGGGCACCCTGCATGTCATATTTTAATAGGTCATTTCAATGTTGTGTTTACCTGTATAAAAGACAAAAGTCATCTTCGGTTGTTTTTCAAATGTTAAAAAAAACGTTTCTTTTTTCCTCCCCTGAATTGTACATTTGCCTTTTTTGATAAACTACATTCTCATTTCAAATGATTAAAATGGAAAGACATTTCGATAAACCATCAATAATGACTTATGGAATATTTCAAACGAAGGTATCATTAATTTTCTTTCGTTGCTTCACAAATATTCTTCCGACAAAACTTGTTTTCTGAATACGCAAAAGAATTTCAGAAAAAGTTTTTGGATTATTCAAGCTCAAGTCAATCTTTTAGAAAGTCTCTTCCCAAACTGTTTGTATCTCATATGTTTGAATCATCTTTTTCCCTGAAACATTAATCATTTGAAAGGGATTTTTTTCAAACTTCCTGAACACAAAATCCACTGAAATGCTGTAAAATACGGTAGGACCCACTTTTACGTATCATGCCCTGTGCAAAGAAATAATGGCTAAGAAATAAAGAAATAATCCTATTTTGGGTCAGTAAGAGTTTGTCTCTACTTCCCAAAAACATGTTCATGAAACAGGTCACACATATCTACTTACAAATAGCAACCAACAAACAGTAGTAGTGGGCTCAGCGCACAAGTACCCCCCTCAACGGTCAAAAAGGGAGAGAGTTGGGGGAGACCACTAGGAGAGACATTCGCACGAATTGCTGACAACGCCTGATGCTCACGTGAAAACGTTATCGCTTTGTGCACATTCAGAATAAACCAAGTCGGGTGTACTTAGCAGTACGTCCGCGTGGTGTGTTCTGTCCACGCGGCTCTCCATAGTGGTAAAAAAGTACTCTCTCTTGTTATCGCAGGGAGCCCATAACTTTATTTACTGTTAAGCTACCTCAGCAGTGACTGATTTCCTTGTGCTCCAGCTCCACAGTGAGCTGCTGCAGGTCACTCTCCAGGCTGCGATTCCTGCGACACATCTGCACATAGTTCAACTGCAGCTGCTTCTGGTACTTGATCACCTTCTCCTTCTCCTCTTGCCAGACCCGTCGCTCCCGACTCATAGCCCCCTCCTGGCCCTGAAGCCGCTTCCTGGACTCGGCCAGTTTCTCTCTCAGGGAGCGGATCTCCTGCCGGAGGTTCTCCTCTTCGTCGACCCTCGGGGGTCCCGGATTGGCGACCCCCTGGGACATGCCCTTGGCCAGGTTGACCAGGTTGGACTGGCTAGTGCTCAGGGTACGGACCCCCTTGCTGATCTTGTCCAGTTTCTCTTTGTACATTGCACTTTCCTCTCCGAGATCTACTACCTGAGTGTGCAACTCTGTGCGTTCATTCCTCAGAGCAACCACCTCTCTCTCCAACTCTTCAACCCTCTGCTGGTGGTCTTGGGAGTCCCTGGCTTTTTTGGGAGGCTCTGGCTTTTCCAGCTCCTCTTTCAGCATGGCAATTTTATTCTCCTGAGATTTCATTTTGTCCATCAGGAATCCTATTTCTGTTTCCCGCTGGAGCATCCTGTCCTGGACAGCCTGCTGCTCTTGCTCATGCTCCTCTAGTTGGGACTTCAGGCTGCTGATGTCACTCACGTTCTTTTCTTGGAGCAGCGCCAGTTCCCGTTTCAACTGGAACGCTTCCCGCTCCCGGGTCGTCAGCTTGACCTGCATATCCATGAAGTCACTTTCCAGCTGCCGCTGCAAGGGTGTCATCTTGGTACCGCCGGCACCTTTCCCATTGGCAAGCTTGTTCCTGAGCATGCTACGGTCCTTTTCCGCTTCGCTCAGCTTTTTCTGCAGTTTCTCAATGTCGCCATTCCTCTCCTTCATGTTTTGCCGCAGCTTACCAAGCTCCTGGTCCTTATCCTCTTGCACCCTTCTAAGCTGCTCCTTCAGCTGAGTGACTTCCTTCTCCCGCTGCGCGAGCCTTTCCTTCAGGTTGTTCACATTACTTGACTGGTTGCCCTTTCCGGACAACAAGCCTCCTGATTTTGCCTTTTTCTGGAGCTGCTGGTTGAGTTTCTCCTGGACCTCCCTCAGGTATGCGACCTCACATCGCTCCTGGCTCAGTTCCTGATCCTTGGTGCCAATCTTTGTCCTCAGTAAGGTCAACTCCTCTTCTTGAACCTTGACTTCTTGGGCCAGGTTCTCCTTGAGTTCCCGCAGGTGGTTTGTTTCAATCCGGGTCTCGCTCAGCTCAGCCTCCTTCTCCTGCAGGAGCCTCCTGTGGGCTTCTGGGGTCGCCTCCCCAGTCCTCTGCATCTCTTGCCTGAGTCTCTCCAGCTCAGCCTCCTGGGAAGCTACTGTCTTGGCCCGCTGGCTCAGGCGTTGCTCCTGATAAGTGAGTTTATTTCTCAAGTTGGCAATTTCCTGGGTCTTGATGCTCAACTGCTCCTTGAGATTCCTGAGCTGCCATTTCAGGTCTTCCACCTCCTTGCTGGGTGGATGATGGGAGACGTCAATTTTCTCCCGCAAAGTTTTCTTCTCCTGTTCAAGTTTGTAAATCTGTGCATGGAAAAATAATCAATTTTACAATCATAAAATAAATGTCAGTTTCTAACTGGGTAGTGTTCGAATACTTCAGTATCTGGCATGCAGCAAAAACTTTACCTGTGCTTGTAGTGAGTGCCGTATCTTCCGTGAGGTATCTTCTTGTTCCTGGAGTTCCTTCCTCAGCCATGACGTCTCCTCGTTCCATTCCCGATGCTTGTCCTCGTGCACCTTCAATATGGCCGCCTCGTTATTGTCCATGGTGTCCCGCAGCGTGGTCAGCTGTGCTTCTTTCTCGAGCACTTTCTGTCTGAGGGCGGCAATCTCGTCCATCTCCGTCTCCTCCTGGACGGAGGACACCTGAGAGGATGATGATGCGGAGGACTTCCCGTCCAGCCGGTTGCTGTTGTAATCCATGACGTGGCCGTAAGAGGGGTTGCTGTGGGTGATGCGAACGGGCTTCTTGGGGTTGCTTCTGCTGCCGTTGTTGTTGCCATTCCGACGGTTGTCCACCTGGCTGCTGGACTGGCTGATGTTCCTGCGCTTGTAGTCTGGCAGCAGCTTGTGGTTTTGGAGATTCTGGACGGTGCGGTTGAGGTAGTTGAGAGAATGTGCGGGTTGGATCCGCCTGGGCTGGGTTGGTTGTTTCCCCCATGCCTTTTTGAAGTGCAAATCAAACAGGATCAGAAGAGTTTGTAAGTTTTTATACAAATAGTAGAAAATTAATGACCTATTGACGTACTTAATAAAACCATATCCATGGCCAATTCTGTTACAGTTTTACATATACTTTTTCTCTTCATTGATGTAATGTTACAAGTACTGTGCGAGTACTGTCAGTGGGGGAGTGTGGCCTAGTAATTAGGGTTTGTGACTCATGATCAGAGGGTCAGTGGTTCAAATCCAGCTGCTTGCCATATGTTGTGTCCTTGGGCAAGCTGCTTCATCCCCACTTGCCTCTCTCCACCCAGGAGTATAAATGGGTACCGCCATTAGCTGGGGAGTAACCTGTGATGGACTAGCATCCCATCCAGGGGGAATAGAAATATTCTCAGTCATTTCATGCTAATGAAACCCGAGACAAACGCCGGCCTGATTGGCCACATTGGCTCGTGACAGACTTTTCTTACATGTACTACCTGGTCACTGCCTAGATTTGCTCACTGTGGCACAATTTAGATGCTTAAGAGAACAAACTAAAACCACAAAGCAACGTTTGCTAAGAATGTTTTCTTTACCTTTGAGTCACCGTAGGAAGGACCACGTGGCCCGTTGTCGTGGTAGTTCCGCTGCTTCGGTGTGATGTCCTGCAGAGACAGACATTTCGTTGGCAACCCACCAAAGTGGTTGCCAGCAAAGCCGTGCTTCTGCTGGTTGGTCAATACAACGTCTGGGGGTTGATGCCGCTGTCGCTGCTGCTGCTGATTCTGCTGCAGCTGCTGTTGTTGGGGTTTGTCACTGGTCTGGTCAGGCATGCTTGCCGGCGAGCTTGGGAGGCTGTGCCTTGATGAGGTACTGCAAGGGGAGTCCAGGGAGCGCGAGGGGGAAGCTGCTTTCAGGGGTACAGGGCGTATCATACGATGCTGCTTGAACTGGTGAGAAAATACAGGAAGAGTAACAAGGGTGACATTGGGCTTGTGCTTTCTTGCATTTTTAAATGGCATCCTGACACAAAGAAGTAACTAACACAAATAAACAAGTACAACAGATGACCCTAACTCAGACTCCTGATCTGGTGTCGACAAGCGATGGCTCGACATTCTTCTAACAAGCACGCACCCATGTACCTTTTCAAGTTGGCCGCTCACTGGAGTGATTGTCGGGGGCCCCGTGCCTACCGGACCCTCGCCAGTCAGCGAGCCGTAGCTATTGGTTGACTCCTCGTGGTTGTAAGTTACGCTGCCCTCCCGGTAGCCACTGTCAACGAGCGGGCTGGCCAGGTTGCCCATGGGCATGGAGGCGTCGGGCGAGTCCCCATCCGAGGCCGACTTGTAGTGCTGTACGCCGGGGTTGCTCTTAGTGAAGTACGCGTTGTGCCTGACGTCGGGGGTGCATGTTTCCATGATATTGTGGACACTGGTCGGGGTGGTGGAGTTCAACCGATGGTTACAGAGGTATCAATCAACTGTGAACAGAGAAAAGAGGTTCAGTTACATGGCATCCTTTCCATTTCACACGGATTTGATTGTTGAGAAAAATACAAAGGTCTCGTTAAATGATGCCGATACTAAGGGTCATCCCTGCATGACCCTTTCACAATTCAAGCCAATTTGACAGCAGAGTCAATGCAATCAAAAGAACAGGTGGTCAACACAATGGAATGACCATCACTCAAAGCCGACAGGTGGATTCACTTAATGGCAACACGGATTGCCATTTGCTGCTGCTGGTCAACTCAATATGACCAATTATCCTCTCGTCATCAATTAATCATGATAACAATGTGGTACTTATAGCGCTTTACACCAAAGGCCTCAAAAGCGCTTCACAATTATTACCCCTGTTCATCAGGCCATGCGACCAGCTTTTATGCAGCAGCTCGAGATCAGCGCAATCTGGTCTCTACCTTCACAGGTACCCCATACACCTGGGTGGAGAGAGGCAATTGTAGTAAAGTGTCTTGCCCAAGAACACAAACACTGTGTTTCCTGTCAAGGTTCAAACCCATGTACCACCGCACATGAGTCGAACACCGTAACCACTGAACCACAGCGCTCTACAATATAGTTGCCAATACATTGTACGATTAATATCCGGTAGCTTGCTTCAATTTAAAGCTGATCTATGCATCACTGTGTTGCATGAACAATACATGTAAGTAAAAAATGTCTCAACCACTTACAATGTACAATGTACCTGTGCGTGAAGTCCAATTAACGTTAATCCCTGCTTTAAAAAATGTCACACATTTTGCATTACATTCACAAGCTAATTCGACACTCTTGCCCGAGACAAATCTCAGCCATCACACGTTGGGTAACTGCGGCAATGATTGTAGTATCTGCGGCACCCAGCAAAAGTCTGCCTTTTATATCAACCTCTGACAAACACACAAGGCGTCAAGTTGTCTGACCAATATCATAAAAACCAGCATGCGAAGCTTAAATTGTTTTTTTTTTCTTCTTTAGACTGGTCATAAAGTTGTATGGACACATTTTCACAAGTTCTAAATTCTTTCCCTTTTTGCAGATATGCAAGTATTAAACTAACCAAATGTATCTAATATCATAACAAATAAATTTTGATGAGGTATTTTTCTCTCAAGTGAGCGATGAGTCATTCTTTGACAAGGTTGACACATAGCACAACTGACTAGAATATATGCCATCCATTAGGCAAAGAAATTTAGGCCCCAAAAATATTAATTATCATAAGTATAATAATAAACCCAGCCAACACGCACGCAGGTCCTACTTAGTTTTAAATTTAAATAATGAGTCATCATTACCGCTATTAGGGAGACTTTAATAGTGACAACCAATCAACTGTGACCATATTACTGTATAAACTGTCTAACCTTGACAAAGGTTGGCAGCACTGCAAGTCTATAAATCACCATCTATTGCTTAGCTTTGTTGCCATAGTAATGGGGTCACTGCAATTTTGATGTGCAAAGGTACCAATGCACATTGCAAAATGCTTTCCAACAGATCCAGCTGAAAATGATTAGCTTACAATGTACTTTATACATTTACATGTGAAGCTTCCCCCCCCCCCTTTTTTTTTTGGGGGGGAGCATTTTACATGTAGCAGCTTAAATTGCAAAGTTACATTTTCTTTATTTTGTTCCCAAGCTGATAATTTGGATCATTTTTACACAAAAGACACTTGAAAGTTGAGCTGTCATTTAAAAATTGTATTTACCCGCAAAACCGTGTAGCTACCAAAAAAATCAAACATATACATGTAACATGTAAATAAATTCTCATGGAGGTTTATGTACATGTTCATGTACCGGTACCTAAAGAACATTTATTTCACGACCCTTCTTACTTGTAATAAATCGGTTAAAAAGACATATTTTTTTAAGAGAAATATCACCAAACTGTCTGAGCAAAGTATATACTCAAAAGTACCTCTTCACAACGAAAAGTCCCAACAGGTGATCACCATTCAATTTTTTTTGGTTCCAAGTTGGTGGTCTAACATTGAAACAAAACACAGATGCATCAGTCAAAAAGTCTCGATACTTTTTGTTACAAAACCTAATAAGAGGCGGTTGTGAAAATATAGGGGATTTTTTCAAAGACTGATGCCAGAACCAAAAACGAATATTCAAAAAATATCTAATTCTAATAGCAATTTAACAAAAGCGAATATTCAAAAAATATCTAATTCTAATAGCAGTTTAAAGCTATAGTCCATCATTTGCAGTTATCCGAAAAGTAACTGGCGTACTTATTGTTGAAAAACATACTTAGTTGAAAGATACTAAGGGGACTAAACTCCCTGTGAAATTATTCTTTCTGGCAAGCTGTCATTTTGAAGTAATCAATGAAAGAAGGCCTTTCCAACGATGCGTCTTAAGACACACCGTTGGAAATTTCTGTTAGTAGTTTTTTTTTTTTTCACTCGGTGAAGCGCGCGCAAGCGTTGACACGATGCACACGGTTGCTATAATTCATCAGATCAGTGCGCAATATCGCGTAGCTGCAATCGGCTCAGTGAGAACGTGTCTCGGACGCTGAATTCAGGCCCAATTCAAAACATGATTCAGCAACTTTTGATTTGAAATTAAGATCCTAGAATGCTGTTTTTCTCACAATATACAGCTGAAGCTGAGCTGAAACTTTATCAGGTTAGTTGTTCAGTACTTTCTTTAGATATTGAACACTTTTGTTGCTTCAAACGAACAAAATGCACAAATTACAAATGATGGACTATATATCTTTAACAAAAGCCATGTACATGTATTCTGTACATGTACATGTACACTGCACAAATGGGCCAATGGCCCCTCTACTGCCAGTTCAACCTGTCATGCTATGTGGGATGTGCATATATCTTTGGGGAGTGCTCTAACCTTGCTTGACCCTGTCTGGTACCTAAGCCCTCCAGGCCACAGTGGGGTGTAAAAAGCCGGGAACAACTGGAACTACAGAGCTGACTCTGTGCCGTGCTCTACCTGGTGGGGTTAGGGGCAACGGTAGGGCGCAAGTCTTGCTAATTAAAATACAACAAAGTCGTGGGGAGAATTAGAATCTTGACTGGTTGGAGACAAACACACAAAAAGTTTGGATAATGATAAAAAAAAAATTGCAAGGATGGTGGGTGTTCTGTGTACACTGCTGTGTGGAAAGTGATATGAAACTAAGTGTTCTCTTGATAGAAATGCTGTTCGGTGAAGAAGAATTCATGCACAGAATAATTCTGAAGTGAATATATATTTCCCTATTTCCTTTATGTACAGTTCACAACAAATGAGTGACCTTCAGGTCTTGTTATGCAGGATACATCAATTTTTTCTCATGAAGTTGGTTGTGAGGAGTGATATGTACTAGTAGTATGTACGTCACTTTTTTGTCAGTTTATTTGGTAGTTGTTTTTTGGATATTTTAAAAAATTTATCCAAAAGCATAACATCTACATGTAAAAAAATGTACTTAAAAAATATACAAGTATAATTTTTGAGAGGGGGGAGGGGGACATGAACAATTATTGGGAGGGGAGGGGCTAGCAAAAATCATAACAACAAAGGAAAAGAGATAATGTGCTACTACTATGACAAATACAAATCACCCAAGAATGTTCTGTACATATGTAAAATCACTTGTATAATTGTACCACATTTAGTGCAAAACCTCCTTGCCCCAGCAATGAATTTATTTTAGAAGTTTCACAGTTAACGAAAACAAATTAATAACATAATTTATTCGAGGAGCATACCAATTTTTCCTGTTGTCTGAAATCGAACAATGAAAGCAACCCGTATTTATTCAGCGACACTGGAATCGTGCCAAGCGGAGTTCAGCAAGATGTCAATTCCTTCATCAAATTACTCACAGTTCAGAAAACACTGACAGCCAAGCCAGGTCAGGTCTCTTCACTGACCCACAAGAGCGCTTCACAGCAATATCTGGTTTGCACAATGCGCTCATAAACTCAAGAAGAAATACAAACACAAACAGGCTGGGGCCTAATTAATGAAAGGGAGATAACCAAAGTAAACAACAGCTGGGCAGATAAACAAACATCAATTCATTCTGACTTTCTGGGAAGATGTACTGTACACAGGTTGGCCAATTAAAACACAGCAACAGGGGCCTACAACTGAGTTCACTGACCGTACAAATGTAGAACTAATTAACGGAGACACGATGCATATCAAATCAAATGAGTATTGTTTTACATTTTCGTGACAATTTATTCATCCTGATAAAAAAAAAGTGCAGGTACATGTACAATATACATGTACATGTACTACGTGTACATGTGGATATGTACATGTACAAGAAATGTTTCACCATAGAGGAATTAGGGTTTTAATATCATTATCAAGATGCATACATGTACCTGTACATGTACATGCATGTATGTACCGGTATGCACTTACGAATACTGCTGAACTAACGCTGCGATTAACCCCTGTACATGTAACTCTATAGTTCCCAGGGTTCCAAAGATTCCAGGAAAACATGGTTATGTGTAAATTTTATGCAAATCGGGTACTTTTGTGTTCCTTCCACATGTACAAATGTATTGTGTGACGATGAAGTGCAGGTAGTAAATGCTCTTCATTTGTGACTCATGCTGGATTATAAAGCTTTGCGTGTGCAGATAATTTGCCTAATGCAGCGCTGCAAATAATTCTCAGAAAAACCCTTCTCCGAACTTTGTGGCTAGAGTGTCAAAATCCATTCTATACAGGATGTCCCTCCCTAGAAGCACCCATTACAAAAAAAAATAAGTCAAAATCAAACATAAGCTGATGTGTACATGTACATTATGGCCTGATACTGTTTCGGTACGATGATTACTATGTACCCTTTTTGCAAAGCAATAAAATTATGTTTTTTAATAGGGGGAGGGGGGGGGGGCCTTCATGATTTGGGCATCTTAATACAAATTCATGTGTACAGACAAATACACGTAAATTGTACATGTACTTGCACACATGCGTACATC